AAAAGAGGAAATACACACTATAAAAAATAATCAAATGGACCTGTTAGAGATGAAGGCTATAATACAGAAAGTCAAAATCTCTCTTGAAAGTATTAAAAGAAGACTAGAACATACAGAAAATAGAATCTCAGCTGTAGAAGAGAAAATTATTGGCCTAGAAAAATCCATCACAAAGACTAAGAAAAGTTCCCCCCAAAATGAGAATAATATGCTGAGAACATGTATGTTGATGTGCTTGATTGAGCCATTGCACAGTGTATTTTGGATGGAAAATTCATTTGTGTGTTGTGATGGTGTATAGTGAATTAATGTAGAGAATGAATACATTTAAAATTTTAAAAAAAAGTACATTAGCCCATATAACTGATACCTTAATAAAGCTGCTTTAAAAAATAAAAAAAGAATACATGTTCCAAATAACAGTAAAAACATTACCACATGATTAGAAAATAATTTCCTTCAAAGCTCCTAAGGGGGAAACCAAACCAAGCAGAAGGAAAGCCCATTCACTCTGGTTGGCCAGGCACATTCTCCAAGGTATTTCAGCCATAGCTGACAATGGGAAGGTGGAGCACAGCCAATGTGCAGACTTGTGTACTTGTGCCAGGATGCCAGCCCAGTGCAGGAACGCCTTTCCTATACCAAGGTTTAATGACAGGGCAAGTGTTTTAGTGGTACACCTCTCTTCGGAAGCAATGTGAGCAAGGAAAAAGTGGGAAAATATATTCAAAGTGTTTAGGGAAAAGCAATTCCAACCAAGAATACTGTCTTGGCAAGATCATCCTTCATATGGGAAGAAAAGACAAGAACATTCTCAGATAAACACAACCTGAAAGAATGTACAAACACCAGACCAGATCTCTAAGAAGTTTTGAAGGGAGTGCTATGCCAGGAAAATTAAATACAGACACACAGAAATAAGAGTTCAAAAACTAAGAAAATGGTCAACTTATTTGCCGGGATAAGTCTGGAGTTGAATATTATATCCCAGAATTTAATTGGGAAGATTGAACTACAACAGAAGATAGATTAAGTACAGGAGAGTGAACTGGTGAAATAGCACTTTATGACTTTTGACTAAAACATTACTGATTTTCTTCTAGGCTTTGTTTTCTGGTTTTAAGGATTTTTGTCCTGTCTTGAGCTGTCGATAAGTTCATGTATCTACTATTTGAACAGAATCCTAACCTGTTTCCTGGCTCTAAGTTCTTTTTTTTTTTAGAGGTTTTCGCTATAGGGCGCGTGTGCTCGCCAGACAGACAGAGAAACAGAGAGACAGAAAGCAAGAAATCACCCTCCAGGGGGGATGGCCATGCCTCAATCCCTTCTCCTCCATTCTCCTCTTGGGATCCTGGGCACGCACGCACAAGCATCTGGCGTCAGTTTTAAGCCACTGGGTCCAGGATGCTAACCACGGTCAACTACATGGGAGTCCAGCGACATAGCCATTACGCTAACTGCTGGTCCCCCTGGCTTTAAGTTTTAAGCAAAGTTCCTTAGTATTTCTATGATTAAACTGCTTTTCTTTAAATTATAAAATATATTAAAAATACCTATTTAATGTCCATAGTAAGCTATATAGCATCAGTTAGGTGCTACCTTATAGTGTATTCATTCTACTCAGAGTTTCATGCCTAAAGTCAGACATGTATTCACAGATATGTACATACCAGCTGAACTTGCTATTGAAAGTAGTTAGATTATTTAAGAAATTTTGTGAATCAATAAAATGTGTGGAAAAAGGAATGGAAAACAACTGTAGACACCAGAGATAGTGTGGGAGAAGGGTAGGAAATGGCTGAGGGTCAGAAATAGGGGTAAAATACACACACACACACACACACACACACACACATATAACTAGAAATGTAAGATTACTGACGATAACATGCATGATTAAGCCACGATGCAGTATATTCTGGATAGGAAATTACATTTTGTATGCTATGATGATGCTCAGGAAATGAATGTAAATTAATTAATTTTTTAAAATGTTTCAGAAAAAAGCTCATGGAAAACATGTAATGGAAAAATTCTATGAATTTCAAAGTTTTTGTACCCAAATAAATTCATACTTTAATTGTATAAAAACAAACAAACAAAATATCAAAATAAAGAATGCAAAAAAATGAAAAAAAGAAAACTGACTTGAGAGACCAGCAATTAGCGTAATGGCTATGTCACTGGACTCCCATGTAGTCGACCGTAGTTCGTGTCCCAGACCCGGTGGCTTAAAACTCACGCCGGGCGCGTGTGCGTGTGTGCCCAAGATCCCGAGAGGAGAATGGAGGAGAAGGGATTGCAGCGTGACCATCCCCCCTGGGGGGGTGATTTCTCTCTTTCTGTCTCTATCTCTCTCTGTCTTTCTGGCGACTGCACGTGCCCTATAGCAAAAACCTCTCCAAAAAAAGAAAAAAAAAAAGACTTGGAGCAGCTCTGGTAATTTTTGTCTATTGAGTTGATGGCACTAAGTATTTTTATGAATAAAAATATCTATGAAAGATATTTTTCCAGTTCAAAAAAATCATATACTATGGGACTTTTTTCTTTTTCTTTTTTTTTTTTTTTGAGATATTTTTGCTATAGGGAGTGTGTGCTCACTTGAGACACAGAGAGAGACAGAGAGACAGAAAGCGAGAAATCACCCGCCAGGGGGAATGGACACACCGGAATTCCCTCTCCTCCAGTTTCTTCTCCTAATTTTGAGCATGCACACATATGTGCCCAGTGTGAGATTTAAGCCACCGGGTCCAAGACTGAAACTGTGGTTGACCGCATGGGAATCCAGTGACATAAACATTATACCATCTGCTGGTCCCAAGGACTCTTTTCTCTTTTAAGTTTATCTCTTTCATGAGCAATAGAGAGATAGCACCCACAATAGGTCTTGACAGCGTGGCCAACCCCCAGCCACAGCCAGCTTGGATCTTGGGCACACACATGACTTGCAAGCTCAGGAAGGTCTTGGAAAGGTTTTTGCCATAGGGCGCCTGCGCTCGCCGGAAAGACAGAAGGAAACAGAGACAGAAAGCGAGAAATTGCCCCCCCTATGGGGGGTGGCCACACCACAATCCCTTCTCCTCCATTCTCCTCTCGGGATCTTGGGCACGCACGCACACGTGCCCAGGGTGAGTTTAAGCCACTGGGTCTGGGACTCAAACCGCAATCGACTATGTGGGAGTCCAGTGACATAGCCGTTACGCCAACTACTGGTCCCTCTTTTATTTTTTAATTAAATAATTATTTTTTTAGATTTTCCCACAAATATTTACTTTACATATTAAACTTTTGCTCATACTCCATAGTTCTTGACAGTTAATAAACAACTTTCGAAATTTCAAAAAACTGAATTTTTTTTAGAGGTTTTTGCTGTAAGACACATGCACTTGCCAGAAAGACAGAGAGACAGAAAGCAAAAAAAATCACGCCCCGGGGGGATGGCCACGCCACAATCCCTTCTCCTCCACTCTTTTCTCGGGATCTTGGGCATGTACGCACACGTGCCCGGTGTGAGTTTAAGCCACTGGGTCCGGGACACGAACCGCAGTCGACTACGTAGGAGTCCAGCAACATAGCCATTATGCTAATTGCTGGTCCCCCAAAAAACTGAATTTTAAAGATAACTTTCAAAATATTTGTGACTCTATAACAACAGAGACAATATGGTTTTAAATATTTCTGAGAAAATATTTGCATGCCAACTACTCAGACTGTTGAAAAGCAAACACCCAGCACACAATTCACACATGAACCTTCCCAACTCAGCCCTGCCTACCAAGTATTCTGTGGTTTACCAGCTGCTAGCAAAGATCCATCTCTTTTTCTTCTTTCAAAGTCCTCCTCAAGGTGATCCTCTGGTTGTGGCTGCTCTTTTGCAATCTCTACTGATTACAATGCTGGATTAGAAAAGTCCAGGTAATTCTGTGGTACGAATTCTTTCATAGAGCTTCTCTAATCCTCTCTTCCAGGCAGAACTGTTTAAGGTGCCAGGCCATCTTTCCAAGAGCTTCTGTTGGCTTTCTTGAGATCCACCTTAGTTCCTTAGTTTTCTTGTCATATCTTCAGATATGACATTCCAGTCAAAGCCCTGGCAATAGTATTTCCCATTTCTGACATAAGGCAACAGATGTTATTGAACTTATGCAAATAACACTTCTGCCACAAAATAAGAATACTCACAAAAAATTTCCAATTCCAGAAGGTCAGGGAGAAAAATTTATGTTTCAATTTTTAAAAACAAACCAAAATTTTTTTAACAAATTGCTAAACCTATCAACAGCTCAAAAGAAAGCAAAATCCTTAAATCTGGAAAACAAAGCATAGTAAAAAAATCAGAGAGATTTAGTCAAAAGTCATTAAATTCTATTTCACCAGTTAAGTCTCATGTAATTAATCTCCCTTCTGTTGAATTTGCAGTGTTACTGTGGGCAGATCCTTCTATTTTAATCCTGGAAGTTAACACTCGACATTATTATTTATATTTCCGGACTTGTCCCTAAAATTAAGTTGGTCATTTTCTTGGTGGCTTTTTGATCTCTTATTTCTGTCTGTGTGTCTTTAGTTTTCCCAGTAAAGCACTCCCTTGAGAACTTAAAGAGCTGGTCTGGTGTTGGTAATTTCTTTCAGGTTTTGTTTTTCTGAGAATGTTTTTATTTTTTCTTCCCATATGAAGGATAATCTTGCCAAGTATAGTTTTCTTAATTGAAATTGCTTTTCACTTAACACTTTGAATATATTTTCCCATCCTTTTCCTTGCTCGCATTGTTTCCAAAGAGAGGTCTGATGTTAGCCTGATGAGATAACCTTTGTAAGTAATCTTACATTTCTCTCTTGCCAATTTTAGTATCTTGTCTTGGTCTGCAGTTTTGGCCAATTTGGCTATAATGTGCCTTGGAGAAGATCTTCTTGGGTTGATTCTGTTAGGGGTCCTTTGTATTTCTTGGGTCTGGATATTTCAATGCCTCTCTAGATTTGGAAGGTTTTCTTCCAGGATTTCATAAACTAGATTAGCACTGTCCTTACTAGTTTCTGCACCTTCTGGGATACTGATTATCCAGATGTTTGTGTGCTTAATGATATCTAGTATTTCTTGTATGTAATGTTCATTTTGGGTTATTTTCTGTCTTTTTGGTGATTTTTTTTCTAGGTCAGAGGTTTTGTCTTCAACATTCAAGAGTCAATCTTCTACATGGTCTAATCTGCTTTTAATACTTTCAAGGGAGGTTTTGATTTCCTGTATTACAACCTTTATCTCTAACAGCTCTCTTTGATTCTTTTTATGTTGTGTATTTCTTCTTTCAAATCATGGAAGAACTTTCTCACCTCCTGGAACTCATTGTCTCTTTTCTCTTGCACCCTCTGGAGTTCATTGTCTCTCATCTCTTGCATGTCGTTTAGTTTTGTCACTATGAATATTCTGGATTCTTTATCGGACGTTCCCATGAGTTACATTTTACTGTCTGTGTGGATGATGAAAGATTGTTCTTTTCTCTTGGGAGAGAGAGATTTTCTTGGTTTCTCATATTTCTTGTGCCTCTGCAGTGGTTTCTGGTCACCTATGGATTATAAGTTTCTTCCTTATTTCTTGGAGTTAATTCTAAGCATTCAGAAGTATGCAGGAAGAGGTGATCTGCAATCTCTCTGCAGTTCCGTGTCCCTGATGCTCATCAAGCAATCTGCCCTTTTGACTTTGGAACTGGATATTACAAAGCCCTCCCAATTTCCCAATTTCTAGGTGCACCTAGGCTGAACTGCAGGATTTCATCTGGGAATTCAGAGGCATGTGGAAGATGAGCCATGCTCTCTCTGCAGCTCCATACTTCTCCCTGCTCTGACTCTGCACACTCTCTCTTCTGAATTGTAGTCATCTGGTGGTGTACTCACTTTTGGCTAATTGGTTGGAGAAGGTTTCTGCAATGGTAAGTCGATGTGTTTCCCTTTACTGTAAGACACTTTTGTGACAATTTCTCTCCTCTACTGTGTTTTGCAACGTGGCATCCACGGAAAGGGATTTTGAGTTCAGATTTTATTTATTTATTTTATTTTATTTTTGAGAGGCAATTACACTAACTGCTGATCCCATTGAGTTCAGATTTTAAAAGAGAAGTTTCTTGGGACCAGGATTTGGCATAATGGCTATGTCGCTGGACTCCCATGTTGTTGACTGTACTTCAAGTTCTGGACCAAGTGGCTTAAACTCACACTGGGTGCGTGTGTGTGCGTGCCCAAGATCCCGAGAGGAGAATGGAGGAGAAAGGATTGCGGCATGGCCATCCCCCCGAGGGGTGATTTCTTGCTTTCTGTCTCTCTCTTTCTCTGTCTTTCTGGTGAGTGCATATGGCCAATAGCAAAAACCTCTTCCCTCAAAAAAAGTTTCTTCCTTCAGGCAGCAGATTCCATAAGGGTTGAGGATTTCTGTGATCCTAAAAGTATTCATATGCTTGACTACTGTGCACTAGGCCTATCTAGACAGTGTGTGGAGGCTGAACAGCAGTGAGAAGATAAGTAGAAAAAAAAAAGGAAAGGAAAGGAAAGGAAAACACAAAGGGGGAAAAAAGACAAAAACAACCAAAAAATGAAAAAAATATTTTTTAAAAAGCAAACAAATTACAAGATTTAAATGGCTTTTGAAATTAGCAAGAGAAAGGAGCAGTCAGAGGAGAGAAGTGTTTTAAAAATTAAAAAAAAAAAAAAAAAGGAAAGAAAAAATGTCAAGAGAGAAAGAGGCAGGGAGAAGACAGAGGTTGCCCTACCTGTCTGAGTTCTGGGAGTCTGGAAGATGGGGTCTAGAGTAGAGATACGGTCACCTTGGTTCCTGAACACAGCAAGACACACCTCAGACTTAAATGGCTTCTGTCTGAGTTTTGTGGGTCTGGAAGATGAGTCCCTCAGTGGGACTCTTAAAGGTAAATTTACTTTTTTTATTCTATCCGTGGGAACAATGATAAAAAAAAAAATGAGCTTTTCACATTAAATCAGTATTAAAGTGACAACTGTGGGCTCACTTTCTAACTTTGTTCTGCTGAATTTTTTACCATTCATACATGAAAACAAAATGTTCAGATAATATTTTTACATTCACTACTTTTAAAATGATTATTAAATTTACATTACACATACTTTAATTTTTTTAAATGCACTTATTTCTGTGTAAGTGAATGAGACAGACAGACAGACATAGAGAGCACTACCCCAAGCAGGGTATTGACCCTGGGGTCCACTCTCACCTTTTTTTTTTTTAAACCACCAGAGGGTACATATATGCTCACTGGAGAGAAACAGAGAGGCAGAGTTTTGCCAGAGTGACAAAGACAGTCTCACTGTAATTCCTTCTCCATTTCTTCATCCTCTCAGAATTTGGGACATTCACACACACATGATCTCATGTGTTTTTCAAGTTTCCAGGTCAGCATTTGAACCATGGTTGGTGTGTAGGATTCAGCTCCCTTAACCACCAAAATATAGGGCAGGCCCCACTCTCAGCTAGCCCTGGATCATGGCAAGTGTGTGCCTGGAATACACAGGGAGGTCTCCAGACCTGAATTAGAAACCTTCGAAGGGGGATTGTCTAACTAAGCATCATATTTTACCACTGCACCACTGTCTGGCCCCAGTTTTAATTTATTTTTTAAGTAATATTTTAGATTTTGAATTTGTGGAAGCCTGCAACATGACAAGTTTTGTTTGTTTGTTTGTTCTTTCTTTTTTTTTTTTTAATTGCTTCTCTCTAGGGCCAGACCTCACCATCTGCAGGGCCCAGGCCAGGGTACTAATGGAGCCCAGAGCCAAGGACTTCCCTCTATCTCCATGATGTGATGAGTGGAATCCTCTGAAGCGCAGGGCCCAGACAAGCTAACAGCAGATTTGTTAACAAAAGCTGGAACCACAACTTCAATTCAAGTCACATTTTTCTCTTTTTTAAATAAGACAGAGAGAAAAAGAGGGATGTTTCTGACACTCTCACCATGCCATGATCCTTCTGTCCTAGCCTCCCTGTTAGCTAGGGCCACAAGTATGCACCACTCCACCAGGTCCACTTTAGGCTGTGCTGGGAATTGTACCCATTTCCTCTGGAAACTCAAAAAAAAAAAAATCTAAGGATGCTCAAGTCCCTCTTTAAATAGCATAGTATTTGGACCAGCAGATGGCATTCTCTCTCTCTCTCTCTCTCTCTCTCTCTAGTGTATGCATGTGCCTTATAGCAAATTTAAAATAATAAATATATAAAGTGAAATAAATAATTACTTTTTAAAAAAAAAAAGTAGCATAGGGCCGGGACCATTGTGCATCCCCACCCCTACTCGTCTCTTGACTTCAGGTTGGTTCCTTGGGACTTTAAGATGAACTCACACACACCCCACCCCACCTGCAAACCAGTTCGAGTCAGCGAGCAGTTCTAGACACCAGGCTGCCTGAAGCTGGAGTCCCTTACAGCTGGAACCTGCTGCTCATCCTCTACCTTTTCCCCACTTGCCTTTGGACTCTCTGAATTTTAGTGTTTTGAATAGATTTGTTTTACTTTGCTCTTGAGGTGTTGCTTATCAGGTCAGTTGGAGGCTCACCACTCCTTAGAAACAGGGAGGACTTTGGGTCACCCAGGACCAGTGACAGCAATGCATGGTACTGGTTAGCAACAGGTAGGCAGAGCAAAAGAGAGATTGCCAATTTTCTAATCCTGCACACCTTTTAACACTCAGAGATACCTTGAATAAGTTGAAGGGAAGCATAGATCACTAGATGACTAGGAACAATCACAGAGACTTAAGAAATATGAACAGCCAACAAAATGACTCTACTCCG